GTCATTACCTACATTTTAAGCATCGATTGAAGTATTTTATTTAAAATCTGTTCTGGGCGGAGGGTATTCGATTTCACGTGGAGTGACTCATATATATGATATATATATATATATATGTATAGATGTGGTTCTGACTGCAGTTTTACAATAAGCAGGCACGAATGAAGTAAGATCATCATAACAAATAAATTTCCAATCAATTTTATTTTATTACGGACTTCATAGCTACAAAGATTTTCATCATAACCAATTGTACGAAACATAGTTGAGAGAAAGAATATATTATTCAACTTCTTGCAGTAGATTATAAACTGTATTTCACCAAATATGGGTGAATTATTTTCGACATATATTGCAACAATACACACATCTTTTATAAAAAGCGTTCCAAACATTCTGACCCATGAGTATATATAGTTATTTTTTCGTTCATATCTGGAGATAGAATATGGAGCCTGAACAAAACAAGCCGACATTCCAATCAACACATTCTTCTTCATGTAAGAGAAAAAATTAATTGATATAAGAGGAAATCCTCTTGAAATAAGAGGAAAACAGAATAATATCTAATAAATTTTAGACGAATGGTTCACTTTAATCGCTTTATCGAAGGAGGAGTGCTTTTTCTACAGGAGAATTCGCTTTAAAATATGAGATTATGGGAGAAATCATTTTACAAATAGAATACTTTTCTCTTGGTATTTCATATATTTTTTCATTCGTGCCTGAAGGTAGAGCCTGAAGGTAGAGAAGGTAGAGGTTGATAAATTTTAGGTAAATGGTTCACTTTAATCGCTTTGTCGAAAGAGGAATCCTTCTCTTGTAAAAGGCTTCGCTTAGAGTATGAGACTATGAGGAAAAATCACTTGACAAATAGAATGCTTCTTTTTTCGGGTGAGCAAAACTTGAAGAAATCCCGTGACTTGTATCGTTACTCGCTCTCGTAACGACTCATTTTTACAACCTGCTCGCCGCTTCGCCGCTGTTTATTTCCCGCCGCGTTATCGCCGCGCGCGCTCTGTTTATTCGCCTATGGGCGACTCTGCACGTGCGTGCTTTTTATACTCTCACACGCGTCTGTCTCGTTCCTCCGTATCACCGTGGCACTCCTTGACGCAAGACGAATGTGTGCACGTTGCACTTCGCGTGGCACGGGTCAATTTGAAAACGGCACCGTTTACGTGCTCTCTTAATGCGGAATGCCGCAATATCGACCGGCCGTTTCCGCGGATGACCTTGTTTTTGACCACCGATCCAAGTTTCTCGTGCGATCCCGCCAAGAACTAACTTCCTCTCTCCCCCCTTCCTTCTCTCGCACCCTTTCTTTCTCGCCCACGTTTTGTCGCGCGCGCGCGCGCGCTTATATCGTCGAGACTCGGTTGGCTGAGTCGGCGGGTCGACGAGGTCCCCGTAAATAAATTGCGCTCGCACCCAGGAGATTAGTCCGAGGATCAAATATTTAAACTTAATCCCTTCCGCATAAATAATTTACTGAGTTATCCGGGGATCCGTATATGCCCGCCATATCATGATTCCCTCGACGCGGACTTGTAACGGCGTTGCGCGTACAAACAGGGACTCGCGTACGCGTGAATACTGAAAAATACCACGAAAACCAAAGCTGCACCTCGATATGCGATTGCAGGATCCACGGGAGCCTGGAATTAGTAGACGTCGCGCGGAAGGAGGGGAGAGAGAAGAGGAGAGGTCGTGTCATTCGTGGAGCCCAATTTATCTTCGCGCGCTACGAACGGCGCGCGAGAAGAAACGCGCGAAATTCTCGAAATACCTCGTCCGCTGATTATCGCGGCATGCATGCGTGATGGCATGACGCGTGATTGCATCCGATGGCTTTATTCGCTCTCGTTCTCCGAATGAGCCGCCTTCAGCTCGCGCGAAGCGCATGCGGTATGTAGCTGTCGTGCGCTGCGGCGAACTTGTCTCGGAATTATTCAAAGTTCTTTTTACCCACTCAACGATATCGTGCGGAAAATGAGCGCATGCCAAGAGCAGCAAGATGCTTGGAAAAAAGAGCGGCAGGGAGAAAGGGAGAGAGAGAGGGGGGAGAGAGAGGGGGGGAGAGAGAGAGAGAGAGGGAGAGGGAGAGAGGAAGCAACGAGCATCTTTACCGCGACCATGATCCGCGCCGGTATTATTCGCAAGTCGTGGAGCCTAAAAATCTGGAAAATCAGCGACCGTAAAGCTCGCCCGGCTGCGCGGCCACCCTCTTTTGAATATGTAAACGCGCCCCTCCCCCGCTCGGGAGGCCAATTTCGCCGCCGCGGCTGAGACCGTTATTACGCCTCTTCTGCAAACAGGCGGCCTGCACGATTCGCGTTATTCGCGGCCGGCATTATTTTCGCGAGTCTCGCGACGACACGTCTGACGTCTGGTCGGAGAAAAAACCAGCGCCGGGTGAATGCGATCAGGTCGAGTCTCGAGGCACCTCTGGCCCCTCGCCGCGCGAGTCTCGCTTCATGACGTCAAAAGCGACGTCAAAGACGACGACACAACTTTCTAAGAGACGCGTTAAAGACGCTTAAAGACGCCTGAAAAACATCTAAAGATAAGTAAGACGTCCTCCTCGGACGTCCTTAAGACATCTCTTGGAAATTTGTGTCGCCTGGCGCGGAAAGCCACGCTGAAGAAAGTTGGAATGTTTGGAGTCGCGCTGCGACTCTCACCGTGGCGGCTCAGAGCGCAAAGTGCGCGATTCGTCGCGACGTGTAGATGCTGTTTTTAAAATACGTGGCGATCGCCACGTCGACTCGCGGCGCGGACATTGTTCGTTATCGCGTCGCTACGCGGACGGTTTATCTTCACTTTATTATTCCGCGGCGAGAAGAGAAACTCGGGATTCGATTAAGAGTCGTTAGTAAGAGTCGCGGATGGACTGCGAAATATTCTTTCTAATCAATTAAGCGCCCCCACCCCTTCTCTTCGTGACCTCTTTCAGACCTCCTCGGGTCGACTTCTCACTAAACTGCAGTATTTCCCGGTAATTCCGTCAGTTCAGTCTTATTTGATTTCACCCGATCTCAGCGGAAAGAAGGGGAGAGGGTAAGGGGGGGGGGGAGAGAGAGAGAGAGAGAGAGAGAGAGAGAGAGAGAGAGAGAGAGAGAGAGAGAGAGAGAGAGAGAGAGAGAGAGAGTTTCACTTTATTAACAGCGATATATTATTGGGCTTACACCGTCGTTCCTTTGTAACTCGCCGTGATGATTATTTTGTCGTTACTTCCTTTGTAACTGTGTTACATCTCGAAAGAGTCGCCTTTGATCGCGCAGTATTAATACGCGCATCATTCTCTTTCCTCCCTCCCCGAATCTTTTATTTATTCGTCGTTTCGAGCGAGTATTGGAGGAGAGGATACAATATTCAGAGTAACTTCGCTCCTTTTTATTTTTACAGCCCGGTGTTTATCAACTTTGCAACGGGGCGCATTCGCGATGCGCAACGTGCTGCATCTTCGAATGCGAAAGTATCTTTACTCGTATGCTAATTTGCTCGGGCTATGCAGTGTGCTTGCGGAAGGATAAAACAGCGGAGAGATAAATTTAGCATTGGAAAGTTATGAGTGGGAATTTATTGATACGGAAAACGCGTTAAGACTTGCACGTCGGTTCTCACTCCGGCGGCTCTGTTTCCCGCGCTTCGATAATTTCGATAGCAATTTTCCGACGATGAAAATTGACGATAATACGGCCTCAAATCTTGCCTTCAAAGTGTCACTCTCTGAACGCTTCGCAACTAGAGCTCATGACAAAGAGAAAATAAAAAAAAAACATAAGTCTTTTTCTCTTTCTTTTTATGATAAATACAAATATACACCCAAAAAAAAGTAATTTCAGAACAAGCGAAATCATCTAAATTTGAGAGGATTTAAAGAGAGAGAGAGAGAGAGAGAGAGAGAGAGAGAGAGAGAGATATATATATATATATATATATATATATATATATATATATAATGCAAATCTAATTGATTTTAATATAAATTTCCTTTTATACACAGATTATTTAATCTTTTTTTAAGGGGATTATTATTTATTTTTCCTGTATTTTATTCTTACTGGTTATATTAGTTAATTTGAAAAAATTATTATAATATATAGCGAAAATAAGAAAAAACACAAGTCTCTCTCTCTCTCTTTTATGATAAACACAAATATACACCAAAAAACAGTAATCATCATAACAAACAAATTTTCAGTCAGTTTTGTTACAAGAATGTTCATCATAACCGATTGTATGAAACATAGTAATTTACCCATATTTGATTAAATATGGGTAAATTATCTTCGTTATATATGTTACAGCAATACACACATACCCTTTTTAAAAAGCGTTCCAGATATTCTGACTCATGAGCATATGATTATTTTTTCGTTCATGTCTGAAAGTAGAGCGTTACTGAACAAAAGAAGTCGACATTCAAATCAACATATTCCTCTTCATATAAAGGGAAAATTAATTGATACTAAAGGGAATCCTCTTGAGATTGGAGAAAAATAGTTAGAATAATATCTAATATAAATTTTGGACGAATGGTCCACTTTAATCGCTTTATCGCAAGAGGAATCCTTTTTCAGTGAAAGCTTTCCCTTAGAATATATGAGACTATGGGAAAAATCACTTTACAAATAGAATATTTTTCTTTTGCGTGTACAAGCATGAATATTCGTAGAAACCATTTCTACTATTCTCGCGCGCTGATCGCAGCTTCGACTCCGGTTGCTCCTGCATATCAGTAAATACATTATGTATCCCTATAGATAACTCTTCAGCTGTCCCCCCCTCCCCTCCGTACTCGTGGCACGGCCTTCGCTTGCAAGCAAGCAAGCAAGCAAGCAAGCAAGCAAGCAAGCAAGCAAGCAAGCAAGCAAGCAAGCAAGCAAGCAAGCAAGCAAGCAAGCAAGCAAGCGAGCGAGCAAGCAAGCAAGCAAGCAAGCGAGCGAGCGAGCGAGCAAGCAAGCAAACGAGCAAGCAAGCAAGCGAGCCAGGCAACGAGGCGCTACCCGGTCGAACGGCGCGGCGGCAGTCCGAAGGTTGATCGATCCACCGGTTGCGCGCGCGCTCGTCGCATGCGCGATGCCAGGCCGCCGACACGCCGTGAGTCGCCACGCACCGCGACGGATAGAAGCGCCGACTGATAACTCGCGTGTTCGGCTTCGTAAATAAAGCCGTCTCGCCTCTCTTTTTCCGCGGTGCCCGACCGCGGCTCGCTGCCGCACGCGGGCGTGGTCGCGCGCGCTCTCTTTCTCTCTCTCTCTCTCTCTCTCTCTCTCTCTCTTTCTCTCTCTCGTTCGTTCCCGTCCGCTCTCGGCGGCGAGAGTGTGTCATCGTCGTCGGCGTCGTCGTGACTCGCGAGAGCGCGAGGGGTGCGTCGGGGACGTCCCGGCGGGACGGGTCGTACCGTCGATGGTACCGACGGCGGCGGATGTATGCTGAGCGTCAACCCGCGTCGGCCGACTTCGCCATCAGGCTGCCGCCAAGCGGGGAGGAGGTCTGTCTCGCGTGCCAGCACACATCAATGGTTCAGGTGAGTGCACGGCTTGTTTGTACGAGGACGTCTGTTGGGGGCTGTGGTGGTGTCGCGGCGGCGGCGGTGCGATGCCGCTGGCGAGTTCCTCCGTCTGAAGGACGAAGGCGGCGGCACGCGAGCGCGCGTGTCGTCGCGCGATGCGCTACTTGGCTCGTCCCGCCGTCGTCGTCGCCGTCGCCGTCGCCGTCGCCGTCGCCGTTGGAGAACGTCAGCTGTGGCCGATGATAAGCAGCGCGAGCGTCGGGAGCGCGACAGAGAAAGGGAGAGAGATGTCGCCACTCGACGAGGACGACGTTAACGATTCGCGCGCGCCTTCTCCTACTCACGTGCTCTCGCGGCTGCCGCTTGGCTTCGCTTCGCGTTTTCTTCTCCGTGCCGGGAAATTCGGTGTAGCTTCCGGCGGCAGCCCACCGAACGACCGCACGGCGATCGTCGTGCGCTTCGTAAGGTTGAGGTTTCCCAGCCGCTTCGGAGGTTCTTCCCCGTTCACGCGACGTGCTCTGGGTCGCCTGTGACGCGTCGCTACTCGCGCCACGCCGCGCCACCCTTCTTATTCATAATTGAAGACGCTAATGTAGCGCGCGCGGTGCATGCGCGCGAATATGCTTCGTTCGTGACGGTGTCCGTCGTGCGCTATCCGTATCTACTGTAGTAGCCAAGGTCAAGTGGCTGCCAAGGTCGCTTCGTGCGCGTGTGCTCGTATGGCAGTGTAAATTAGGTCAGAGATGTTTGTCACCCTCGTGCGCCGATAAGCGATAAAAGTGTCGCATATAAGTGGCGCTACTATTGACAAATCCATATGATTTTTAGGAAGTACTAACCTTCAAATGATACGTGTCAAAATTTCATGACAATCGGACGTTTGGTTCAAAAGTTACAGTGGTTTTAGTGACGCACGACGTCGACTCGTTTTAGCAACGCGTCGACGATTCAGCGGGCTGTTTGGAGTTGTTTCAGCGCAATAAAAAGGATCTTTTGATGCGGTATGTGACAATGGATGAAACATGGATCCATCACTACACTCCAGAGTCAAATCGGTAGGGAAAGCTCCAGGGAAAGAGATTTGGCTCCAATGAAGAAGTGATCGCTGAAACTGAAGCCTTGCTAAAACGAGTCGACGTCTCGTGCGTTACTAAAACCACTGTAACTTGTGAACTAAACGTCCGATTGTCATGAAATTTTGACACGTATCATTTGAAGGTTAGTACTTCCTAAAAATCATATGGATTTGTCAATAGTGGCGCCATTTATACGTCATCCTACGAACTTATTGAGTGATGTGTTATGCCGGTTATGCGTTGTATCTTTCGCTCGGCGATCAGCTTTCGCTTCGCTTCGCGAGATTTCAGCGGGATGGTCGAATGTAACGCGATAAAACTACCGACTGTGTCCGGGTATTTATGTTGAGGATTCTAATTTGAAGATTCTCTGCGGAAATCAGAAACTGATCGTTCTCTCGCGAAAATTGCCGAAACGCGCCGAGCTTTTCGAGCTGTTCATTCATATAATGAAGAGGCTGCTTCTGCGCCGAGCTTTAGGAAACGGTATCTCCGGCTGAATCTCCGACGAGTCCCACTTTTAGCAACGTTTTACTTTGGAGCTTCATTTCATTAGCAACATTTCAATTTTTAGACACCAAGATATAGCTCGTTATCAAATTAGCGAGGTATGATAAAGCGTTTTTCTCGAGAAATGATTAAAAGAGGCCGCGATAAAATTAGACACGCGCGCGCGGCCGCCCGGGTACTTCTCGCATAATAAAACGAGCGTGGAAGCAGGATCGGATGAAAAAAGAGAAGCTCTCGATAAATCCGCCTTCCTTTAGAGCCAATAAAACCGCGAATACACGGGCGAACGGTACCGTTTTAAGACCTGGACTCTGGCTGCGCGAGAAGAGCGTTAATATTACCAGAGCCGTCTCTCTCGTGGCCGTACAATTCCAACACACAGTGGCGGTCCTCTTGCGATCGCACGGCCATGAAAATCGCGCTGTATTTTATCGAAGACTATTAATCCGCAATGGCCCTGAGCTGGCCCGCCGGCAAGGTAGGGGAGGAAGCGAAGCGCGCACTGTAAACCGTCAGCCCCGACCCTGCAGTGGCCCTTTATGTAAATGGATAATGGTTCTACAGCGGTTGGCTGGGTTCCTAGACGGCGAGTACGTTGCGACTGCCGAAGGGCAGTTCATTAACTGCCAGACTCCGGTTCGATGAAGGAGCGTTGGGGGGAAAGAGCGAGCGAGCGAGAGAACGAGAGAGCGAGAGAGAGAGAGAGAGAGAGAGAGAGCAAACGGCTTTGAAGTGGCGGCCTCGCGGGCGTCCAACACGGAACAACGAGAATTATCTTCTATTTCTCTCTGCGCGCCCCCCTCCGCGCCCCGCAACATTCGTTTATACCCATCCATCCCTTAACGCGCGCGTACAAGAATACCCGACTGGCTGTTGATTGGGACGCTTCAGGCGAAGCAATAATCGCTCCGTTGCCCGGCACACCGGGTATGAAAGCTGTCTCAGTGAATTGACGTGAACGAGAAATGTTGATACGCGCTCTTCTATTCATCCCGTATTATCGCGGTTCGGTGATGCAGCCGCGACGAAGTAACGTGGCGGAGCATGCATTAATTGCCCGAACGGGGGCGGGGGGGGACGGAAATTCCGTTCCTATGCGTGCGCATTTTCTGGTACGATATATACATGTAATATATAAATTTCTCTTAGTATATATACATAGAAAAAAAGTAATTTCAGAACAAGCGGAATCATCAAAATTTTAGACGATTTTATTCTTATATATGGCCTCAAGAGGATTCCTCTAAGATTAAGAGGAAAATATTATAAATACATTGTTCTTAAAGTTAGAGAGATTATAGTTATATCTATAACGCAAATCTTATTGATTTTAATATAAATTTCCTCTTATACACAGATTATTTAATCTTTTTGTAAGAGGATTATTATTTATTTTTCCTGTATTTTATTCTTATCGGTTATACTGGTTAATTTGAAAAAAATTATTATAATGTATAGCAGAAAGTAATATATACAGATGAACTTCTGGCTCCAGTTCTATAATAATTAGGCACGAATGAAATAAGATCATCGTAACAAACAAATTTCCAATCAGTTTTGTTATGGATTTCATAGCTGCGAAGATGTTCATCGTAACCAATTGTATGAAACATAGTTAAAAGAAAGAATATATTCTTCAATTTCTTAGCAATAGTTTATAAACTGCATTTCGCGGAATATGGATAAATTATCTTCGTTATATGTTACAGCACACACATACTTTTTTTAAAAAGCGTTTCAAATATTCTGACCCATGAGCATATGGTATTTTTTCATTCATTGTCTGGAGATACGAGTAGTGCATGACTGAACAAAAGAAGCTGACATTCAAATCAATATATTTCTCTTCATATAAGAGAAAAATTAATTGATGTACAAAGAAATCCTCTTGAAGTAAAAGGAAAACATAATATCTAATAAATTTTAGATGAATGGTTCACTTTAATCGTTTTATCGAAAGAAAAATTCTCTTTCTGTGAAAAGCTTCGCTTAGAATATTGCTATGGAAAAAATCACTTTACAAATAGAATACTTTTTTCTGGGTAAGGACTTCAAAATCAGCCGGATAAAAATTAAATAAAACGTGCAAATTCCTTTGAGCACTTTGTCCTGATTATAAATAAAACCCTCAATCTCAACCTTAATCGCGTCTGCTGCATGTAATATTAAACGCAAAACGTTTGCGATGTAGAAATAGATATTTCACACATTTGCAGCAGTGTAGACTAAATCATCTATGCACGTCATCTTGGGAAATTTTATAAAGATAACATGAGCATACATTTATAACACTTAGGAAAGCTAAATTGATGTACCTCATCTGGATGAAGATCGTCTGCACAATTTGACCCGCGTAAGCGCTGACCCTGATAATCTGATAATTGTTATTCGCAAACATTATTTCTTCACTCAACTAAATAATTATCAGAAATTATCGGACAATCTTCGTCGCAGTTGGCGTCAATCGCCGGAATCCGCGCCGGATTTCCGCGCGAGCGAGGAGATCACTCCCGGGACTGCCGCGGACTACCGCGATCGTGCTGTATCCACTTATCGCGCGCGCTCCACCGGACGATCATCGCAACCAGCGATGCGCTCGTCGACGCCGCGCGCCGAGCGGTCTCTCGAATTGTGCGCGAGCGCGACGACCGGACGTTTTCCCCTCACTCCCCCCGAGATGCGATCGTATCTGTAAAGCGCCGTTAATATTTTCCGCGCTATTAACGCTTCGGCGTAAGCTTCACGCGGCCGGCGCAAAGTGCCCGCGTGCGTGACCGTTCGCTATCAGATTATACGGTTATGGCGACTCTCACGTAATGACTCCCTATCGGAATAATTGCCGGTGACGTAATCCCGCCTCGTCCAACGCGCAAACGAAGTCGCTCGCGGCTTTCGCTCGAGCGCGTGTAACTCTTCTCAGAGTTTTTCTCTCTCTCTCTCTCTCTCTTTCTCTTTTCCTCTCGCTCTCCCAGTCGCAGACTCAATCGCGCGGCTAATTGGTCCGCACCGCCGCGTTCGTTATTGCCGCGAATCATCATCATCGCGCTCGGCGCGATTGTGAGCAAATAAATCTAATAATTAACAGCCTTTCATTAACGACCGCGGCAATATCGGCGATTATTTATGTAAACCGGCGATTATTTATGTTTTAATTGTGGCGCGTTTATTATTGCATATCGGACGCGAGAGAGAGAGAGAGAGAGGGAGAGAGAGAGAGAGACCTTTGTGAGTTAGCCGATTGTGCGATTACGTATCCATGCCTGATTGTTTTTAACACGGTGTCGAAGCGTTAAGTTCGTCATATTGAATTAACGGTTATAAACGGGTTACCGTTAATTGCGGGCACAATCATTCGTGAATTGTATCTCTCGCTGTGAGATGATGTAATTATCTTATGAATCTCCCTCTCTCTCTCTCTCTCTCTCTCTC